ATGCACAATTAATGGAATTAGGYGTGAGAAGTTGGTGGCTATTTGGACACTTTTGGTCACTGGGGCGTTCCGGAGAATGTCCTTTCCTAGTGGCAAGTTTTGAACACTTAAGAGTTTGTTCCTGAAAACTGCACTGTGATCTCTTGCTTTGGAAGCAAACCTATTGGATGCCAGTTTATTTGGTTTCATAAGTCCTCTAACAACACAATTGCAGTCAAAGGATGCTCTTTTTTTGGCTTTTTTAACATCTAAATTAAAATCCTATGACTTTGAGATTAAGGCAGCAATGGAGAATATTGTGCTACATTGTGCATTAGCTGTCGATAAAGTCTTTCTCCTTTGACATGCTTACATTTATATCAAAGGCCAACACATAGAACTAGCCTGGCTGACTACAAAATCTTGAATGGAGAAATAGGTCCACTGTGATAGCCTTGTTGCATCAAAATTGAACTTCTCGCCTTACAATATACATTTATATTCTATGAAAAATAAAAAAAACTGGTAAAAAATATTAAAATATTTCCTATACAGAGGTACCATTACGGTCAAGTCTAGTCACTGTTATAAAAAGGCATTAAAAATGAAGTAAAGCAGTGGTGGAAATCAAGTAAATGCTTCCAATAAAGCTCTTGTTTGTAAGGCAAACCTTGATCAGACCTATTTGAACTTATGTTTAAAAGGTAGTGTTTGGGATTCTCCCTTTGGGTCTCAACATCAAGAAGATGGCATTAAGGGCTGGTTTATTTAAAGGCTTTTTTGGGCTTGTTAGACTGAGATTTGAGCCTGACCTGGTGTTGCCCTGCCTGAGCAAGGCTGGTGCTCACCTTTGGGCACCTCGCAGGTTCTCCTAGGTTGGATGGTTTCATTGAAACAGTTGCAATGTCTCTGCTTCTAGTCCTCTGGCCATCTTTTATTTCTCAGTGTGGTTTTGGTTTGCTCAATGACAAAAGTTGGTGCAAATATACTCTTAATGGCAAGAGGAAAATGATGAAATTCTGTAGTGAGAGCAACTGTGTTACCCCATCGACATTCTCTGGCTGAAATGTGTCTGACACCTGCCTCTCCATAGCAGTCAATATCTGATGCATGTAGGTGCATCAAAATTGTCTTCAGTGATGAATAGTGCTGTTGGGCAAATCAATAACAGGATGAGAAACCTGGAGCTCCGTTGATACTTTTCATACCAATAATGTACAAAATATTTGAAATATTTCTGCCTCGGAAAAGTTCCTCTGTGCATGGTGTTCAAATTTCATCTACCTAAGGTTGCTTAGGGAGCAACAAAAACGCAGGAATTGCACTTCTCATCCCAGCTAAAGAACGAGTTGTGTACTTGCTCATTGATAGTGGGATCTGATTGTCAGCAGAAGCTGTCCCTCGAGAATATGGGTTAGAGGGGGCAAATGCTCAATGCAATGTCCCCACTGAAGCCTGAAGAGGAGAGTGAAAGGAAAGGGCTGTTCCCACAACACAAGCAGTTAATGAATTTGAGATCAAACTATGCGTGTTATCTGTGGAGCTGAGGAGTAATGGGGTTTTGCCTAAGGCTTTACCTTTTATGAATTAAGTTCTAAAGTTGCATTTGGCAATATGCTGTGCTGGAAGAATTTTTTCCTTGAGAAAGCCAGTGTGTGGCCTCTGCTACTACAGGACCTAGCAGGCTGAACATTGCTTTGGCCATTAACTTAGGGAGACACTGAGTTCTTGCATATCAGCTGACCTGTGGGCCATAAAAACTCTTAGTGTTGAGAAAATAGTGTGAAAATTTTACTTTACTGCTGAGAGGCTCAAGACATCCACATTGCTCCTGCACGTAGATTATGTGCAGTCATTTGTTGGGATAACTGTCTTGTCTTGAACCCCTCAGGCTCATTTTAAAATGTTTTCAAATGAGTAATGCAAGTTGTACATTGTAAGTCTGTAATCTCTTGAAATTCCTGATCTGTGGTTTGTAATTTGGCTCCTGGAAAAAGAGACTGTTAGTGCCTCATGAATGCAGTGAATCAGCCTGGGGTACCAGATTGGAGCAACCTTCTGCCTGCAAAGCAGTGGCTCCTGGTTAGTAACAACTCTGAATCAGAAGAAATGTAAAATAGATATTTAAAAATAAAACAGCTTTCTACGTGCCCCTTTCCTACAACCTAGCAGGGCAAAATAAACGCAATTCATGTCAAAACAATGGAGTAAGAAGTAAATGTATATACAAAATGTCTTGAGTTTTAATAATACCATTGAAAAGGTATTTTATCTTGCCAAGAAGAAATGTCCAATTACAGGGAACTTCCTCTGGGAAGGCCACATACAACATACATTCCCCAACTGCACGTGCAGTGTGTAACACTAACAGCCAAGYGTTTCTCCTCCCACACTATTTAAAATACCCTGTTTGATCCTTTATTTCCTGCCAAGTCCTTAGGATRGTGAGATCTTTCAAGTGCTGCCAATGTGTATGTGCAGGACATGACAGAACGCAAGAATGACACTTCATGGTTCAAACAAGCCAAACCCTCAACAGCACTAGTGCTTTTTGGACTGCTGTGCATAGGAAGAGTCCTGTAAGTCTAAACTTGTAGAGTTTAATGTGGCTATAGAACATCAGTATTTGAAAAATAATCCTGGATGGCAGCAAAAGGTAAAGACATCTGTCTCCTTGGTGCTAATTAACTAATTAAGGTAGGTCCCTATTTCAGTGACGAAGTGGTAGAGCTGGCCAGGAGGCAGGCTAATGCATGACAGCCTCTTCCTTTTTCAGATTTACAAAAAGCTTTCAAGTCAGTTTTCTAGAGCTGTCAAATAAACCTCCCCTTGCTCAGTTCTTCCTACCAGCTTGCCACCAAAACTACTAACTAGCAAGGAGATAATGCTGTGCCTTCAACAGGCTTTTCAAAGTTGTCTACTCTGGGAAGTGGACTATGTCCCCCATCAGCATATACATATCAGGATTTCAGGAGAGGATGAAAATCCAAATTTTTTGAGCTCGAAGTTAGTCTTCTACAAAGAAATCTAATGTAGAAACAGGAAGTATTTTGGGCAGAGTGGCTAAAACCTCCCAGAGATGCCAGAGGATGGGAGAAGAGGTGGCTGTGGCAAAGGAAGGGGCTTCCAGCTCTGCTAATCCTGAGCTTTCTCCCTCGTTGAGCCTGTGGCTGAGATGAATAACCCTTCTGAGGGATTGCTTTCAGGGGTGGATCCCCTGGGCCCATCTGCTCCCTTGAACAGGCCTGTCAGAGGGAAACAGCTACTGCTTGACTAGAGGAACTCAGATTCAAGAAAGACATTGAGGAAGATGTGCAGTTAAGAAATGATGTGGGTGGTGAGAACCTGTTTGGGTGATCTCTTAAACTACAGTGGCTGAAAAAAGGAGGTATCTTTGTGACATTAGGAAGCTCAAAGCAAGTGCGTACAAGGAGCAAGGTGCCAGAACTGACTTCCTTGGGCTGTCTATATCATATCACTGAGTAGAGGAAAGGGGTCTTCATGACATGGTCTTCACAAGTTATGTTTTTGAACAGACATTAGTGTCTAATGGCATCACTTATCCAGGAGGCATGAGGTAGTTGAGCATCTTATGCCATGGAGAATTAAGGACATGGCTTTCCATCTGTGGGACAGAGGGAAACTGTCACTTAATTTTGAGAGACTTTCCCTGGGCAACACCATTGCCCCTAAGCCTGGCATACCCCTCTATGAAGTATTTTTCTCATTAGGACTATTCATGATGATAAGATTCTTGTTATTCAGATTGGTCTGTTGTCTTGTGTATCAATTCCAAGTTCTTTGTCTATGAAATCTCAGAACAAGACTGCTGTATTGCAGCAGAGTCCTGAGTTTCYGCAAAGTTGGGTTTATAGTAAGGAAAAGATGATTCCTATGGGGTTTAGCAAGTAATAAAGGTTAAATATGGAGGTTGGGGATGGTTTCTTCTCTGGAGCACTCTTCACTGTCATGTCCTCATAAAATGAACAACAATATTTGCAACTCCCTTATTAAAATATATTTAATTCTAAATGGTATTGGCCAGCAGCTGGGCCAAATGACTTCAATGATTAGAAGGCAGGGTCCTTTGGACTTAAAGCCCTATTTAAATAAAACTACTAGTTTGTCTGCCTTGTCACACACTTAAGCAAAGGACAGTACATGATTAATTCTGAAATATTGATTCTGTTGGAGGGAAAGTATGAATAAAGGAAGAGAGATTTCCCTTCTATTATTTTGGACAGAAACAAATGTAAAATGAGAAGGAGCAAAATCACTTCAGACTCTTAAGTTGGACTTAATATAAAATATTTTTCTCAACTATTAAAAAAATCCTGTTAAATGATTTCTTAAAAAAAGGAAGCACTATGTATACTTAGAAGAAACTGAATTGAATATAGGCAAGAATACCAAGAGGTAAGGTCCAGAGGTAGCCTCCAGGCTGGGTTCAACAGAGAAGCTGCTGACTCTGCACATCAGTACAGACCTAGTGGTAAGTGTAAGAAGTAATGGAGGACTGCTGAGTCCAGTGATCAGGAAAGCTACCACAGGGATAAGTGGTGACAGAACAGGAACAGCACCCAAGTGTAGAGTTTGTTCTGTGTCTTCTAGCTTGCATAAAGCTACTGGAGACAGGAACAGGTTTTGAGTTGAGGATGCCTAAAATGTCCTTTTAAGGTGCTCAATGCAGTCATATGTTTTGCTAGGTGAACCTGGTTTATAACAGCATGCTCACAAAATAAAGCCAAAATCTGGTGATTTGGTGCCTCTGCGAAGATCAACTTATCCTAAAAATCATTCTCTATTCCTGTGTATTTTATACATCCTTTACCTGCCMCAAAGAATAACAAAACTATTGTATCTAAGTGGTCACTTAACTGAATTGGTCTGCAAAGTAAGAATCTATGATCAAGGCATTTTGATTGTTGGCATAAGGGAAAGTGCCTCAAGTACAGTGTGGTGTTGAGCTGTGTTCTGTACTCGGTACCCACACCAGAAACTTTGTTCCTGTTACTCTTCAGCTTCAGGATGAAATGGCACAGAAAATGGCATGGACATAGACAGCAAAGACAACCTTCTTCACCAAGAGAAGAGACTAATAACAAACCACTGAAAATGAAGCACCAAGTCTTCACCTCAGAAGGATGCAAACCCATATCCCAAAGGATAGTATGGCAAGAAAGCTAATGACATTAATACATAGTTAAAGTTGCTCTTTTCTTACAGTTGAGATGTGCTCTTTCCTTAAAGGTCTAAGAGCCTTCAGGTATTRTTGTTTTAAAGCAGATCGTGGCATGAATATTTGAAGTATTATTACTGTCAGAAAAGTTTAATACACTTCTCCAGGATAAAAGAGCCTTTAACTTATGACTTTTTTCTCTGCTCCTCCTTCCTCCACTCCTACGAACAGCAAAGCTCACAAGTTTTGGTCATGTAGGGATCCCATGGCACCAAAGGATATAAGAGAAATTAAACTCAGTCTTTAAAGATCATTTGAAGCCAAGTAATAGAAGGGAGGCATTGAGAACAGAGAGCAGATATCTTCCCTCAAAGAGTCAGTAGATAAGCTCTGAGCCAGCCTGGTCCAAGCATAATCACAGGAGCTTTCAGCTTGACTTTTCTGTGTTCCCAGTTTAACTTAACATATTGGCTTTTTCCTCAACCTGTCAGTTGTCATATTGCTAGCCAGTGTTGAAGCTGTAAGGAAAGAGAGGTTATGGTTTAGTAACACTGAGTCAAATGACAATCATGAGATTTCAATGCACTGGTTGARAAATGTGGAGTACAGGGAATTCTCAAAACAACTGGTGGGTTTTTAACTACATTCCTATGAATTCCAGTTGGTGGTGAGAAACATGCAATAAAAAGATTATTTAGTCATAACTTGGTTCCATTTTAGAAGTCAAAATTGTTGCATCTGTCTTGCATTAATTTAAGATAGTTTTGTTTACAAAAACATTAAATATGCTTTAGCGGTACTGGCAATACCAAAGCTGTTTCTGTCTTTTCTTTGAAGGCACCAATAAATTCATGTAGGTGTTTAGTGTTGGACATGAGGTTGTGAGGGATCATTAGGCATTTGCTTCCAAGTACAGTTTCTTCTACTCTAAGTGAAGTTCATCTGCTTCTGCTCCTGACACTATTTGCTGGGGTTTAACTGACCAGACCTGTGTGATGTGAATCCCATCAGCACAGGAACATGCTTGGAAAATCAGGTTATTACAGCTTGAGCATTAAAAGTGCTAGAGCACTAAAAGATAGCAGGGGAGGATGGGGAAAGGGGGAGGCAGGAAGGGGTGCTGTGCTACYGAGTAACCTCACACTGCGGTCATGAAACAGGAAGCTGTCGCTTCTCTTCTGCATCCAATAAATCTACCTTTGGATAATTTCCTTTAAAATACAAAAATGAATACTTCAAATAGTGTTTTTCCCATTATACTTCTTAAGTTTATTTCAAAGTGAACAAAAGGCACATTTTTGATTTGTTTTTCCCATGTGAATGTACACACCACCACTATGAAATCTGGGTCATGTTTTAAGGTGGGGTACATCATTTGAACTGCTTTCAACAGTGAAGGCAGAAAGTGGCCCAGCACTGATAACTGATATTTGATCCTTGATATTTGCATCCTTTTAATCTCCTACCAAAAGGAGTTATTTCTGTAAGCTCACTTCGTTTGTTAAAAGGAAGGAGCTATCTGGAAACCTATAACATTTTTCCATGGCTGCCTAAGTCTCCAACAGTGTTTTCAATCAACCATGGGCCTGTAGGGGAAGCAGATTCCATCTAGTAGCATCTCCTTTCATTGTGGCTGTTTTGCCAGAGCTCAAATGCTGGCTGTTTAGCGTGTCTTGATAGGCAGGCACACTTGGGCTTTAGCCAGCATGACTTGAGGTTGCTGTGTAACGTGTGTGAGGGAGAGGATATGATGTGTTCCAAGATGCCTGATGGTCTGGAAATGAATCCCTCCCTTGCTGAGATCTGCCTGTGGTCAGATATGACCTGAAATGCTGGATACAAATGACCTATAACCTTGTAGGCTCTGCTTAGCCATGTCTGTAGTGGTGGAAGGAAGGCACCAAAGCCTTCCCACCACTGACGTGTCTGGTACAGAGCCTCCAACCCCACAAAAACAGGGAACCTCAGACCCAGAAAGGCTCTGCACCAAGGGGATGGCCACAAAGCTGCAGTTGCCGCCAAAGGCAGGAGAGGGGCTGGTACCAAGGAGAAATGTCAGGGGGAAAAGAAGGACCAACCTTGAACTGCCTGACRCTGCCTTGAGCCACGAGGTGCTGCTCGTTCTCCGGGGTGATGCAGTAAGCTAGCCTCTAAAGCGGGGGAGAAGAGGAGAAAGTCATGTCAAGTGGGATTGCAGCTGTAATTGTGCAGAGTAGCCTGAACTTTATTTAAAACAGTAACTTAAACCTTTAATATCCCCAAGTCATGAGTCTTAGTCGGTCATTGAGAGAGCAAGCTGATTATAAGGCCCTTGGCATTAGCCTTTAATATAAGGAGCAACAGTAAAAAGGCTTATGCAAATACTGAGTGCAAATATTGAGCAAGGGCCTATGGAACAGAGAGCCAGGAAGAAGAGGGTATCACAGGCCTTCCCCAAGTATACATTTTTCTTGAGGCTTGAGTCAAAATGGGACTGGTTGGTCCTACTGCATCCCCAGCATCCCCATTTGAGAGTAATATACAACACTCATTGTTAGCACTAATGAGAATGTAAATGAAGGTACTATATTTGTCATATTTCTTTTTTAAAAAGGAAAATCTGTCCAATATGCCTAATACTCCTAAAATTATAGCAGTACTTTCTGGAAAGCTGATTTCTATCTCAAAACTAGAAGAAGATGCACTAAAACTACATTAAAACACCATCACAGAGCTGGGTCCAAAAGGTCACTCATAAGAAATATGTTTGGGGAAGAAGAAAAACAAGCTGCCAACTTCTATCCAGTCAGTGCAGAACAACCCTTGGAGATATTTTGCTCACGTTCTACTTACTTCTTTAAAGGTCCCACGTGCATTCATAAATTTATAGATAATGCAGGCGGGCACGAAGATCATTGAAGATAAGGCTATTCCCCAGCCGATGCGGTTCGCCCAGAGAGGGAAGGTGTAGTCATCGTATGTCAGAGGCTTGAAATTTATTATGCTGACTATCACGACGAACTAAAGAAAGAGAATTTGGCTTTGAGATGGGGAAAAAACTGAGYGGAGAGAAACAGCTTCAGCCCAACATCTTCAACCCAACTGGGTTAGGCAGCCACCCCAAGGGGTATCTCAAGCCAACTTGGGTGATGATCTTCACCCTGTCTGCTTTGGGCTTTGCTGCCTGAGCTGCAGAAACTTGTGAGGCATTTTCTGGTTCTAGCAACCAGGTAGTTCTAGGTGCTCTGGGCAGTTTATTGGTGGGAGGAACAGCTCATTTGCTGCCTCATTTAAACTAGGAGTGTTAAGGATGTATAATGAAAACATTCTGTAATCCAAACTACGTAAAATCTCTCCAGGAGCAGTTTTTTTCCCCTTGTTTCTCAGGAGTCTTCAGGTTTAATTTTCTTGGAGAAGTTTTTTTCTAGTGCACCAAGTTTTTGGTGCAGCCCTTTCCCCTTCTCCATCTTGCCAGCCTCAGTTTCAAGAGCTGCAGGCTGAAGTTCCACATTAAGCCCCTGGGAGCAATGTTTAGAAGGATAATACATGCATGCTAGAGGCTTAATAAACCAAYGGGAGGCAGAAACAAAAATTGACAGGAAATTTTGGCCTGGAGGCTGCGTCATCAAAGCTTGTCTAAGCTCTCTTTAGATGCTTAAGAAGCACAACTTTAATGTGATTAATATCTTAAGATCACAGTGAGGTCAAATTTCCTTGTGATCATTCTGACCTTTTGATTTATGAGCCTAGGAGAAGATCTCAATAGTCATTTTGTTCTGAACAGGACCTTAGCACAAAACATCCAAATGCTCTGTTCACATTTTGCAGTTTTCTTTCTAAATGTAATGAAGCATTTGTGTTTCTCATCGGCCAGCTTACAAGTTATATTAATACATCTTAGTGTTTCAAACACCCAAATTCTGGGAGTAATTGCATATAACTTATTCCAAGATGTCACTCCACAATTGGGATCTTGGTGTCTGACAGCAAAATATAAATTGCCCTTGGAAGATGTGTTCTAAAGCACACATTACAAATGTAATGATTTTCCATCAGGCAGGGAGCTCGAGTGTATTGTGTAATTTTGTGTTCAGAGGCAAGGCGCCCACCTAAAAGGTTATGTCTCAAGAGGTGGTGAACATAATACTGCTTGGAGAGACAGGGACAGGTTAAATCCAGTGGTAAACAGCTCCTAAAATGTTTCACCTTACAGAACTGCAGGATAAAATCAATGATACAGGGTTTGGGACTCCTGCAAAACACATGAAGGAGCAGATGACTGGCAATGGCTGAGGATCAAGCTGATCTGAAAACAGCACATGCGTTTGTCCCTCTTTATCCCTCCAATGCTAGATTTGTTTTTTTTTAATCTGGTAAGAAAACATAAATAGAAAATAAAAAGGATACTATATTTTTTCAGTTTTGTGTTTTACATTAAGCACTTGTTACATGTTAATTAGCTTGTATTTTATAATCATCTTGTAAAAACAAAACYTGAATGAGTCTAATTCTAAGTACAAAGCTAAAAGCAGCCAGGTTGGAGAACATACAGCAATCATTACTAAGTACATTAGGAAGAGTATCCTTCTAGGGTAACCCCTTGCATGGATCTTGGAGACACTGCATCGTGTCCAGAAGTGTCTTCTGTCAACAGCTACTAAATTTAGGAGCCCCCCATGCTAACCCAGTGCTGATGCTGTGCAAGGGAGAGCAGATCTGTTGGTGCTGCACATTGCAGAAGGTTTTAAAGATAGTCCGAGTGTCTGGAAAGCTTCTGCTTACCCAGTGCATCCCTTCACGTGAAGGAAGGACTGGTGGTTCRTTTACATTCCTCATTGACTTCTGCCCGTTAAGAAAAACAGAATGAGCAAATCTTGGAGCAGAAGGTCAAGTGCATGGTAATGAGCAGCAGGTCCACGTTATAGACRAGCAGATCAAATGTAGCTGCTCTGAAACTGCAGAACCCCAGGGGGAGAGGCTGCAAAGCATCTAATTACTGGAAACAGGAAAGGTTAACCTGGGATTTAGGAGCTTTAATTAGAAGTGTAATTTTTTTCTCTGCATGTTTATGTAAGGATGGTATGTAAGTGTCAGTTGTTACTTAAGCAATTTGGAATTGAGATGTACGTTCCAAATAATAGTCTGACTTGATTTGGTATAAAGTTGYGACATTTATTTCATTAAATTTCTCTGTTTCTTTTACTTAGCATTTTATGTGGTTTTTAGACTCTGTAAATTGAGCTTTTCCTCTGTTCTGGTGTCTAAGATGAGGTCACCCRTAGGAGGTTGTGGTTTTAAATGGGAATCCATAGCAGTTACAGGGGGAACGAGGCGAGGTGGTGAAACCTGAGTTCTGACACTGTCATGCCTTTTGCCATCGAGGGAGAGTGAAATTATACATTAATTTAGTGATATTGGAATTTAAAGGTTAATTACTGTAAATCACAGGGCCTCAGAGTCTGTTTTCTTTCTCAGCACAGTCTCTTATCCCTGCCTGGTTTATTTTCTACTGGAATCATTTATATTTAATAACCATGGATGCTGGGGGCTAGAGGGAGCACTGCCTGAATCCAACTTTTAGTGTTTCCTGCAAAAAGCTACTTCCTTCAGAGCCTGCTAAAGTGAAGGAACAGATGCCTAAGTCCACAATCAGCTTCTCCTGGACAACTGAAATATTTCATGCTGAATATCTAAATGAAAAGAATTAAAGTGCTGTTTTCTATTTGTCCTGGCAATATGAGGGGTAACAAGCAGCATMTTGATTCCTATTTTATATTGTAAGAAGCAATATAGCCATGTTCTTTCCCTGCTGAAAGGGTCACCCACACTTACCAGCAAAAAGGCAGGGCTCACAAATTTCCAGCACAATCTCCAGTAGAGGCCTGGCTTGAAGCCCATCATCTGTTGGATGTCTTCACTGAACCTGTCCACACCTGTGAGGCAAAGCCAATGGGAAGAGATATGAACATCACACTGATGTAAGTCAGAATTGGTCGTGTTGGGGACAATACCCAACTCCCTTAGCTGCTGCTCCTTCCAAAAGTGGGAATGGATGCCTTGCAAATCTCAAGAAATGCAGGGCAACCGTGTYGGTCCCCTTTCAATGAACAGATTGTCTTTGACTTGAGTACAGTTAAGATTTAAAGTTTAATGAGCATTTAAGTTCTGTTGCAAATAGTGTTGCCATTGAAAAGGCGAATTTCACAAATATCTTGAAGTTAAACTATGAAAAGCGGTTGTGAATTGTTATAACCAAAGTGCTCGGTGCTCTTGAGTACACTGAAGGGAAACCTGGACCCGTGCACAAAATGTTTTAGTGTAGTAGTAGTTGGATAGCATTCCTGATTATTCAAAGGAGGTTTTCTGTGTTCTGTTTAATGGTGTACCTCATATTTACAGCCTTTAACGTGTTTTTAACAAATATCACCTCATCTTTTATCACCTCTCCAAGGAATAGAGTAGTTGCTTCTGTTATGTGCGAGCACGTACAAAACGAGAGCACCGAGAGGCAAGGTGGCCTCTTTCAGAGTATCCAGTGTGCTAATATCAAATAACTTTCTAAAATCTGCTTTGTAGGAGTCTTGATCTCTACTAAGGTAACGTAGCTGTCARAAATATGCTAGAAACCTATCCTATGGATTTAGAAACACATGGATGACCTTGCATTTCTGCGGTTGCACTTCTCCAATTGATTTCTGCATTAACTGACAACTGGCTATAATAAACTATACAAAGCAAACATGCCTTTTACAGTGGGTAGGACAGTATTGGTTTGAATGGTAGTTTCTTCCCAGTTTTTCTTGTTTTATTCTGGTTGGATTTCCCAATTCGAGATGTTACCTTGCAAAAGTTTCATCTAAGTCCAGGCCATCTTCCTATTATTTTTTTTGTAACTGGATGATTGGTGTTATCTGGACATAGAAGAAATGTCCCCCTCAGTTATGTTAAAAGAAAAAAAAATCTCAGTGGCTCACAAGTTATTGGCTCAGAGGTGAATATTTCTCTGCTTAGTGTCATGCCAAACTATTGGTTTGTAATACGTGATTATACTGCAGAAATGTTTTCAGCARGCTTTTAGTTGTGAATCATATGGCAAACAAATAGTGCTGTTTGACACRATTGTCAAGCCTGGCTCTTAAGATCTTCATACAGGTTCTGGAAATCTCCAGCTAGGGCCTCWCTCTGTCTTCTCCAAGCTCAAAATGTCCCCTTCTCTTGAGGGAGCTTCAGTGCCCTGGCCATCTTGGTGGCCTTCCACTGAGTTTGCCTCCTCTTGAGTTGAACTGTTTTTGTCCTGGGGATGCAGAGAACAGGACACAGGACTGCAGGTGCAGTCTCACAAGCCCAAGAACAAGGGCAGGATGACTTCTCTCCTGGTGAAGCTCCTGTTGATGTTTCACAGGAGCTGGTGGCCTCCTCTCCTGCCAGCTGGTGCTGCTGCCTTGGGCAGCTCCTCCTTGACTGCAAGTAGCAGATCCAGGGAAGCGTCAAGTGGTTCTTGACACCCTGTCTAAAGGATTTCTGTTGGAAAAGCTTTCATTGACCGGAATAATAGTGTTGAGCCTAAAGAGCACTGCTGACTTGCACTGAACTTTTTCTGGTCATTTGGGGAGATGCTCATGTTGGAGACTGGGGGGAGATTTTCCAGCAAGGGAAGCTGAGCAGCAGGTTTGTGTGGCAGGGAGAGCAATTGGCACATGGATCAGAGCAGTGAGCTCAGGGCTGTCCAAGAGACAAGATCCCAGCAAGGTGGATACTAGCAAACTGAAGTGCTCTTTCCTGAAACTGGCTCCTCCACCTCTTGCAGGTTCAGGTGGTCTTTGCGAGCAGAAACGTCACAGTTAATTAACATAGGTTTAATTTGAACTAAATATCAAAATTGCCACGGTTTTGGTCTGCACTGAAATGTCAAAGCCAGCCCTCAGGCTGGCTTAATGTTCCTGCTGGGTCACTAAGGCAACTGGGGTCTATCAGGAGAAAGGTGGATGAGCTCACGCCAGATTTAATCAGTCAAAATAGTATAAATAGCACCCGAGGCTGTAATAAGTTGGTTTTTATAAAGCAACAGGTCATATTGTGTCAGTAAAAACATCTGTCAGCTGCTTAAGACACATAAATAGATATTTTCCCTGTTGGTGGGAGAAGGGGAGGGATGATGGAGGACAGAAGAAGTTGCAACAAATAAATGAAACCTGACCAAGCTTGGCTGGGTAGAGAGCCACATCCAAAACCTAGCCACTGCAAAGCACAGGAAATTCTGTTTTCATAGCAGTAGATAATAACTTGCACTTAACAGYGATATTTTTATACCTTGGCTTCCAAGCTAAGCTATGATCACTCTTCTGCATGCAGCTCTTACACATCCATTAACAAAGTTGCCTTTGAAATTTGGTGCCTCCACTTTGAGAGAAAATAGCAGCTATAAGCTGCTAGCTCTGTGCTGATGTTGGAGGACATAATTAGCAGTTTAAAGCTAAAAATTGGTGCTTTAGTAGGCTGGACAGCCTCACACGTGGATATCATTCCTTTAGCTCATTCACTCAGCAGCAGTTTTTAATTGAGAGGGATGGAGTGACCAAGGGAGTAGTGATGTGGCACTGAGGAGGTAAATGGCAGCAGGACTGGTCTGTGTAAGGACTCGCTCTCACTTGAATTATAAACACTGTCTCTGAACAGAAATGCCTGCTGGAGCAAGAAAAATCATACTGGGAACCAGGGCAGCTAGTGCAGTACAGATTTCAGTGGAAAAAGGATTTGTGGCTCCTGGGACTTTTGCACCCTTAAAATGAAGAGTGGTATGATAATAGGTTAAAACTGAAGATTTACTTTACCCCTTTTTGTGGCATATATCCTATTTCTAGGGGGGTGTTGGATATTCCTTATCATGCTATGAAATAATATTCCTTGGAGTAGTAATAATTCCTTTGGAGTATTTTATAATACTGTCTGAAATTAAAAGGACTAATACAGAAGTTACAAGCTTGTAAAGACAAGCTATTTTTTGTATAGCATGTAGGCTTGGGATTTGGTCCCCCCCTCCAGAAAAAGTGGGAATCATGGACAGGAGGAACAGGTGAATTTAGGTTAACCCATGGGCTTTGAAATCACCTGAAGGGTATAAACCTGCCCCTATTTAAGTCATCAGCCATGTTATCAGCTGAGAGGTCTTGGTGAGAGGGGTGTCTTTTCTTTGCTCTGCAGTTGTCTTTAGGATACAGTTTTCTTGGGCTTTGTCCTAGAATTTGGCCTATGAACATTTGCATTCCTGTCGCTGTGTGCAACTCGGGTGAAAATCATGGTGTGAAACGTGGCTTGTCACACTTGTCTTACCAGCTAACTTATTTTAAACCTGCATGCAAGCCTATAAGCACACTAGATATTTATTTTGAAAAGATTTTAGAGGTGTGAAAAGTGCTTACCATAAAACCAGGAAACTCCAATTGCTTCCATTAAAACAGCAAACAATATAGACGTCCCAGCTGCAAATGTGTCCAGAAGTGTGAGCACATAAATTCCACCCTGGCATTGGGGAGTTGAAACAGGCATCAAAACCAAGTCACAAATGAAACCACTTGAAGTTTAGCTTCTAGTTAGCAAAAATCTGCTTTATGTTAAGTATCTTAGCTGAAATATTGTAAATATTYAGCTGCAGTGTTAGCTGCTGTTGCTTGGTGTGGAGAGCAGCCCAAAGCATCTTCCTTGACAAAAACTCATCTCTGCAGCTTGTGACCCAGAGTTTTAATTGCATTTGCTAAAGTTTTGTTTAGCAGTTTGCATTAGCTAATTGCATTAGCTAAAGTTTTGTTAAAGTTTGTTTTTGTATGCTTTTTATCAGTAGCATAAGTAGCAATCGAGTTATTAAGCTTTCTAAATGACTTTAATCTACACAATCAATAGACATTTTTTCTGATGAAAAGCATCTTTTGGGAATAGGTGTGCATATCTGCAAGAACAGAGAACAGTAACTTTTTTTTTTAATTTTGGGGACTCCTCTGAAAACTGAATGAAATTTTGTTGGAAAACAGCATTTTTTTTGTTGTTGAATAGCATTTCATTTGACCCACTTGTTTCTGTTCTGCACCTGCTCCAGCTGAATACCTCTGCTACCAAAGCTTAGCAAAGTGAATAACTAATAAGAGTATGTGAGAAACATGTTTTGGAAATACAGAATGAGATTGCAGAGGGCAAAATCAAACACGTTATTTTAGTATGATGGTATCACAAGGGTTTTTCTTTGTGTTCAATGTATGCAATAGAATTGTTCTTTGGTTAGGTGAAGCAAGAAATTAGGCCAAGCCTGGGCGGTTAGCGCATTGCGGGTGGCCAGCTGAGCTTTATCCTATGTGGGAGTCCATGTCTGGAGGAYTCAGTTCTGTCTGTCTGCTTCAGCTCCCTTGAAAACAGTGGAATTGCCCCTTTGGCACCTGCTCAGGCTCTTTCCCACTGAATTTCTCTCATTCTTTAGGATTTTTTACCCCAATTGATGATTTGAACAAGGAGGGAGTATGTCCAATTCTTAGGTAACAGGGATGGCATGCTATTAAATGCCACGAGATATGATATACTAGTTTTCTCAAGTGCTTTCCAATTTGAGGACACTACAGTCAAGTTAGAAGGACAAGTATATTAAACTTATATAAAAAGTAAATGCTTCTRTCAGAAAACTGTGTTTGCTCTACAAACAAGACCCAGGTGATGGGCATTTTCACCTGATCTGTAATCCCTCATGTGGGAATAAACACTGAACACAGTTCCATTGAATATGATAAAATAACACCAGGATTGCACAAATGTCTTGGGAATGGATGTTTGTGGGTTTGGTAAATAGCTAATAACCTTATGTAAAAAAAAAAGACCAGAGAAGCATTATGGCAGGTAAGACTGAAAAGCCACAGACCGGCCTTTAAGTTAAGAACTAAATTCAATCAAAACTAAATAGATGGGGCAGCCTGGGAGACACTCAGTTCTCTCTGGGGTTAACAGCATTTCTAARGTAGCTTGCTGATATCAAGACACTTTAGTTGTACTTACATTGGTGATACAAAGAAGGGCGAGTAGGAAAGTGCCAAAGGAAACACCGAAGGTGAAGAGCTTTCTGTGCTGCTTGAGAACTTGGAAATCGTCTGCTAGGCCGGTGATGACGGCCTCCATGCCGCCCATCTGGGGAGAGGAGGACRGGAGCCCGGTTAGACAGGACGCACGTACTGTGTGATCTGTATTTCGACTGTAAGGCTGGCTTCTTTTTAGTTTATGCCATGTGGAATTGTACTTCACTTTCTAGATGGAAATACTGAACATGAGCTTTTTTCTTTTAAGTACGCTCTACCTCCTGAGTTTTCCATTGAATTCACTGTTATATAGCTTTGATTTTCAGTTTCTTTTTCCTAGTGACACCATTCTGCCCCTCCTGTACCAAGAAGCTCTGTAAAAAGGAATTCAAGCCTCAAAATGATGAACAAACCTATCTATATTTTAGATTACTCCAGTAAGGCTGCTTTCCCTCCTTTTTGTCAAGCCAAAAGAGCAGGACAAAACCTGGAGTTTTGTTTGGAGCAAGTAGAGGGGTAGCAGGTCATATTCTGGCCTTTTCCAAGGCATATTCTGGCCTTTTCCTGCAGGAATTTCGAGCAGYGGGCACCTCTCCTTGTGTTTGCTAGCTGTGAGTTGTCTCTACACGATGAGTGATTCCAATGCRCAGTGCAGTGGCTGGGGCTGAGGAGCAGGTTGTGGGTTTTGTGGTTGSTTGCTTGCTTGCTTTGAGAGGAAACAAACATTCAGAAAGCAGTGCAATGGCCCGGGGCCTCACCTTGGCTTTTGTTCACTAATCTTGTAGGGAGGGCATCTGTGAATAGTTAAACCTAGATGAATATTGGCTCTCTCAAGCCTACCATGTTGGCACATTGTGTCAGCCTTGGAGAAACTGGAAAAGGGAAGAGACCTCTTGACTGAGGGCTACTTCTAAATGTATGGCRGTGCTTTGTCCTTGTGTTTGTCTCCCTTGGCAAGCTGGGTACGTCATAACCACAAACACGGTGTTTGCAGACACCTGTTCTGCTTCCTATCGCTTGTGCTGTTGTTGGCCAACACTTGTGTGACCAGATTTCACTTTCCTTCAGTGTGTTGACAGTTCCATTTTTGTACAGTTGTCCATTTCTAGGCCAGGGCAGGTTTATGTGCATAGGTAAATGTATGCATATATTATCCATCTTTAGTTTGGGGTACAATTGATTTGAATTAAGCTTTAAAGTTTTGATTTTCCATTTGATAGATTGCCATTTGATCAGGCAGAGGAGAGGGTTGAGAAGAGCACTATACAGAACAGGGCAGCACCTAAGCGTACTTGATTACACTAAATAATTCTGAACAAAACTCGAACAAGAAGATCCCTACCCCAAAGCTATGGCTAGCAAGAAGGTCTGGAAATTTGTTATGTCTATCAGCTCATGGCATTTTAGTTAGTTCCACAAGAAAGATGTTTTTTCCTCCTTAGTAAGAGTTCTACRGTCTAAAACCCTATGTTTTTCACTATGTCTTAGATTTCTCTCACTTACAAAGTAAAATGGGATATGAAACTTGTCTCTATTCTTAATCCTGTTCTAGTTTTGTTGGTGATTTAGGTTTAACATATTTCCAGTGTCCTAAATTTTTCTTCCATAGCCTTCATGTTGCTTATAGTTGAAAAATGACCAAAGCAAAAAACCCAGACATGATCTTACCTCTTTTTTAAAAATAGTTCTAATGCATCTGARCTGGAATCCAAAGATCCAGGCGCTTGAGAAATAGTTAGATCTTGATTTGAACTTCAGAGCTCATATCTCCATAATATCTCATTCAACTATTTACCAGTGATGATCAAAGCTTCCTTTTGCCACCTTATTTTTTGGGCTTTTTTCCCCATGTTGCTCTTTTTGCTGCCAATTYTTTATTCTGTTTCTTGTTTGTGAATATAAAGGAAGTTTTTTGAAGTTGCAAGCAATGGAAGAAGTAATTTTTTTCCATTTTCAGCAACAAATTCCTAACTCAGCTGTATGTACTTAGAACTATACAAGAGGCTTTTATGCTTTACAGTAGTAAAAAAGTGTCACCCTATTAAGCATGAATATTTCTTCATAGCAATGTTCTTGGAAAACCACATTTTAACCCCAAATTAGGCAGCTTTTAAGCTAAACATTTTCATATGTCTGGATGCCTCCTTGGTAAGCACAGAGCAGTATGAGGCTGCTGTTMGGACATTTAGCTTATATTCTATATGTCTAAAGTTTGTAATCCTGAATGCCGTAGGACAGGTATTATCTTCAGCCTTTATTTTTACAGAGGGAAAGCAGTTCAGAAATAATCTGGTGCAATTATTAAATAGCAATTGCATTTACAGTAAAATCAGGATCATCAATAGCCTAAAGAAAAAGGCCATCAGTCTGGATAATCTTAGATACCAGTGTATCATCAGCTGCTCTTTGTCTTCAATAGATTTTCAGCATGTGTGAAAATCTCTTGCAGAAATGAACTTGYGTGCTAATGTTCCCCCTTATCCAAGTGGGATTCAAAATCTTACTGCAGTTTGCAGTAATAATAGCAGGTTATAGCAGTGCTCTTGGATCGTTGCAGTAGTTGTTGATGAACAGGCCCTACTTAAGGTTGTAAGAAAAATCAGCAAGAGTGAATATGGCCTCCTGGCTCGTAAATTATCTTTTCCTAAACATCATAAACATGGGTATTTAAATGTGCTGTCAAGAGTATTAGCATTAGTATGTTGTCTGTGATGGTTTCAAGGAGTGTACAGAAAGCTTATTTGAAATTTAATCACTCCCTATTTAAGACCARTATCTCTCTAGTTATTAGAGAAGGTAATAGTAGAAAACCCCAGCATGGCCAGAAGGAAACATACTCACAGAACTGTCGATGCCAAGAGTAAGGAGCATGATGAAGAATACCACTGCCCAAAATGTAGATCCTGAAAGTGTTGAAATTGCCTCTGGATAAAGGATGAAAACTAAACCAGCTCCTGAAATGGGAAAGAAAAAAAGATACCTAAGTGATACTTACCTTACTAAACTTCTCAAAGTGTTCAACTTCTCCAAAGTGCTCATTTTAATGAGGTAAATTATGACAGTTGGCTGTTACATCAGTGTGCATCCCAGTCTGTGCATGGTTTGTCATACTTGGAGCAAAAATTATACTGAGAAATTACACTTGGAGCAAAAATTATACTGAAAATGAATCTGAAATACTTTAATAATGTACTTTGCAAGACAGTTTTGAGCATTTAAATCTACCCCATCTTTTTTATACCTCCCAATGTTTTTATGTGATTCACACCCTCCCAGCTTTGAGGTGTGAGCTCAGTGAACCTTACTAGCTATTTTTCAGCAGTGTAGTGCCAGAGGAAGCTGTGGGTGGGCGATCCCCTCTTTGGAAGGAGACTTCTTGGAAATGATGCAAGAGAGATGGGAGCAGCAATGGTGGGTGACCTGTTATCAGGGAAAAGACTACAGCTAAGCTCAGGTACAGCTTCCCAAAGCTGTAGCTYAGGCAGTGTCTGCACCAGGAGCCGAGCAGCAATGTTTGCCTCCCAGGATGGTCTTGTGAGGGACGAGATGCCAGGGACACTCAGCTCAGTAGAGCCGGGGTGACTCAATGGCACTTAACACTTCACATTCCAGCAAGGTAGATAAACACAGACTTTTAAAGCCCGAGTTAATCTTTCAGGTGCCTTTCATGAGGTTTTTCACCGGCTTGTTTGAAACAAACRTTAAGCATATTTTCAAATCAATGGTGGAAGAAAAGGGGTAAAACTAGTATAAAATTCACCTCCTACCTTCAGTGGCTACATCCTCAATTTTAACTTTGTGCTCGTGAGCCATGTAGCCCAATATGGAGAAAATTGCGAATCCTGAGATGAAGCTTGTGACACAGTTAATGGTACTAGTCAGCAAAGCATCCCTAATGTGATGGAGAAAAGAACATGCCAGTGAACAAAACACGTCAAGAGCTAGATGAGGATTATGTTATTGTGACAGGGAGATTCTGGTGAAAATGGTAATCAAGCACTTGTCCTGGTGGTCAAATGCTCCTGTCAGCAGCCTGTGCTGTGATGAGTAGACCAGGTGTCTCCAATTGAGATGACACTGCACAGGCTTGGTGGGCTAATGTGGTTGGATGGGACCTTGAGAGCAGAGGACAGGCCTCTGAACTTCAGAGATGCCAAWCAGTGCTTTAATAAAAGGTAAATATGGTTTTCTATCATCAGTTACCCTACCTGTCAACATAGGTGCTACATACCAGGTTTTATTCTCGTCTGGATATTACTGTTTTAACARTATTCCAGAATTGACTGTGTCCTGCAATTCTCATTAAAATGTTCMCCAGTGGGAAGGCTGCAGGGTCAAGAAGAATCAAATTGAACCCGTAAACTCAAATTCTTTTCAGTTTTTAAAGAAAATTGCTAGATATTTTTTACTGATCAGGTGCTGATAGTATTCCTGGTTGCCTACAACTCGGGTCTCATGCAGGTGAGCAATGTTTCTTTTTACTTAGTCAGAGGATCAAGCCATGCTTATCTCTTCTTAAACTGAGCTGAGATAGTTTTGCATGCACAGTCCTGGGGGCTCACTTATAGGTACAGATTTTCTTCTTTTCTGGCTCTGATTTTCAGTATTGTTACACTCTTTCTGCCATTACTATTTCTCTCACCAAAGGTGTGCTGAGGTATAGATAGGACTGTGCAGTGCTGAGCTGTGGCCTTTGTTTGGAAATAGTATTTCCAATTCATTTTAAGAAAGCATTTATTAAGATATCAGCACGTTCTAGAGTTGTTTTACCAAAAGAAGGTTATTTGCAGGTTTTTTTGAGTGTTTTGCATTATTGAATAAGTGTGCTTTTGTTGTTAAAATAGAAAGATAACTTTATGAAAGTATATTATATTACTCATACAGGAAAGGCAAAGCTGATGAAGTGATATTAGGCAAGTAYAATACGCTAAGAACAAAATATGATTTCACATGTTGCCTGTGGTGTTTTCTTAGTTTTGCATGTATTTCTTTTAATTTAGGAGCAAAATCAACCACAGAGTTGTTCCCTGCACACTTTTGTTCAGTATGAGAGTAATGCAGAATTATTTGCAGGAGACGATGTCAAATTGGAGAACTGATAGRACTAGCTTCTATCCAAAGGGGTCATCCTTAGCAGATCTCCTAATCTGATTAATCAGCTCCCTGAACCTATACTYGTTCTTGAGTTGAGTCCAAAGCTTACTTAAGTCAGTGGAAGTATTCCAGGATTTTGGCTTTGGATCCATTCGAAGCAATTCAACTCCATTTAGTCTCTTCTACCTTTCCACTTTATATTTTGTCATTGCTAACTCATCTRTAATACATACACTTGCTGAATTTATATTTCATGGGAAATTTTTAAAGGATGTTTGCTTTCATTCCAAGATGGAATGACAACAAAACTTTTGAGTTTTTGCTTGAGTTTCTCTGAAGATGCAGAGCCTCAGAGTAGTTCTGGCTGAATTTCCATGGCAATGATGCAGCAAAAGACTTATAAGTTGATTTAAACTGCATTCTTAAATTAGATCCCAGCATAAAAAAATGAGAAACCTCAAAGCAGGAAAACTTTTCTGGAGACTGGATTTAGTTTTTAGTTTCTGGATCAGTAAGATTCCATCCCACGTTCACTGTTGCTTTTAGTGGTACTTCTTGAGAGACAAACACAAGTACAGTTTACACAGCTGTCTAAAGTCTAAATTTAATCCCATTCTGTTTTGCAGTACAGCAGAAATCTTGGCAGGCTCCCGTTGCTAAAATTTCAGTAAGGAAGACAGCGATTCAAATTTTAGTTTGGTTGCTAGGTCCACACAAGGTTCAGCATTGTTAATAAATGAAGACAAAAATATCTAAATAGTTATTCTGGCTGTAGTTATCAAATAAATAGTGCTGTTCTGAAGCAGTAGTGGAAGAATAGAATATTATACCTGTAGCAGTTGTTGTCAAACTTATTGTAACTGGCAAATGCAATTAAAACTCCAAACCCAGCTCCTAGGGAGTAAAATATTTGAGTGGCTGCATCAATCCAGACCTGCAAATGATAAGAACATTATTAGAATGTTAGTCCAGTCCAAAAGATGCATCAGGGAAATGCAAGAATTGTACAAGACAACTGGCTTTGTAGGTCTGGTGAAAATAAATAAGCAATGTTCACGAGATGGTGGTGCCCTGGGGGGGACACAGTGTGTACACAGAGCAGTTGTGCCCTGAAAGGGCTTGCCATGAAGGGGCAGTGTTTTCTGAGCTGCATCTCCAGCACAATATCCACTCAAGATGTGTAGACAGGTGTCAGGAACCATCCAAGATGCTGGCCGCCTCAACTGCAAGCTGACAACACTCTTCTCTGGCTAATGAGGGTTCCATTTATTCAGCCATTTCACAGTTATTTAAATAAGCATCTCAGATAAATTTCAGAAGAGTAAGGAAATCAGTGGAGTAAATAATTCTTAGTGCTGTCCAAAATGAGATCTTCACGACTTGGCTCATTTTGCCAAGTGCTTGAGACATCTCTCTGAAATCAGCCCCAGTGTTCATCCTGCAGTGATTTACCAGCACTTCTAGAGAGCTTGAGTTCCACCTCATGGTTAACATGGCTTTATGTTAAGCTTTCAYGTGTGGCTCAATCTAGAGAGGGATTTGTCCCATCTTAGCATAAGTGCTTTCATACATCATGTTAAATATCTTGTTCTTTCAACAGAGATGCATAATTACTGCCTGTTGAGGACTGAACTGTTCATAAATCCTTTAGGTTTTGGAGGGAAATGTAATTTTATGGGCTATTGGGTATTACTAATTATTTGAAAGATTTGAAAGATGATATAATGAAAAGCAGTCTGTGTGTGCTTTATTGCAAACCAGAATGGCTGTATAGATGTGATTTTTCTCAAACTGGTGTTYAGGGTTTGTGTCATGAATTTCTCACTAAACAGCAAAAAGTCAGCAGCTTTTTCAAGTTGTCAAGTTTCACTAGAGTGAAATGTGCATTACTTGCAGTAGTAAGATAAGAACATCTTGCAATGGAAAGCCTCTTTCATTTAAAGGACAGTGACCTGGTGGGTTAATCCTGACTTAGCATGTTTACTAGTAGGTTCAAATGCTGTATTTCTTTTTTTTTTTTTTTTTTCCTATGTTAACATTTAGCTTTGTGATTCAAGAAGCCAGATTGCCTTCCTCAGGGAATTCATAGCTTTCTGAGAACCAGTTTTGCATATGATCCAGTATTCCTGTGTAAAGGATATTGCAGTAGAGGCTACAGGCCAAGTGGGTACTACTTAAGGGAGGGCAAGAGCTGAAGCTGCCCTTGGACAGTTCCTAGTGAACCAATTAATTTGGATTCCAGTTGAGACGGTCCTGTTGCCCTSATTATGAGGGCACTGGAAATCCAGCCTCTTGGAGCAAGTGTGTTGGTGCTTATACAAAGCACTACTCAGTAAACTTCGCTCTGTATCATTTCAGAACTTAGCTTTGCTAGTTGCAGATTTAATCATAGAACAGTTTTAGCAGTAACAGGGAATGAGAGCAGAAGAGGGCACTTACCGTGGCCTCTTTTAGCCTTCTGAAGTCTATGTGCAGGTACGCGCTTATTCCGTTGTAGGCACCSGGCAAGGTTATGCCGTGTATTAACAAGACAAATAACACGACGTAGGGCAAAGTTGCTGTTATCCACACAACCTGCAGAAAGCAGAGATCCCAGATCAATCAGCTACTATGAAAATTTTAGGAACATGAGAAAAATACAGCTGACAATTTCTTGCATGTCACTGTTTTATGGAGAAGATGTTGACTTGTGTTATATAGGCTGTCTCAAGGGAAAGTGCAGTGAAGTATGTACCCATGTGTATGTATACTAGCCCATATGAATATCRGCAGGAGATAATTTTGTCCAACGAGCCTAGCTGGAGCGCTCAGGACTGCATGTTCATGTCTGCCCGCTGCTCAGCTGTGGGTTTTTGAACGTGCAGGGACTGTCTGWCGCTGCGTGATGTTACTGCCATGCAGGTGCCCCCAGAGCTCCGGGACGTGCCCAACCCCAGCCTTTCTGCCCTTCTGGGGGCTGTTTCCTGAGGGAGGTCCAAGAGTAATTGCAAGTTCCTTGCAAGGTTGCCGGGTGTTGTCTTTTCACKGCATTATTCCTCTTGTCACAACCTTTTATGTCAGAAAAGCAAAGCACTTTAAGTGATCAAAACATGAGTAGACTTGTGTGAGAGTTGGAGGCACGTGTCAGACTATTTCAAGTCTCTTTGGTATTTTCTGAATGAGACCACTAATGATGAATTGAAATTATTATGCCAATAAAATCTTGAGTTTGAGAACCAAACAGATGAGACTTGTAGATAAAATAGAGGCTGAACATGGAGTGTGTACTCCACACTGTAAAGTTTCTACACAAAGCTCTATTCCATGTTTTGATCCCAGAGGGTCCCTCAGATGCAGCGATTTAACCTCCTGCTTTCTAGAATTAATACACTTAAAGCAGACACAGAGTATAATTGAGATAGGAGAATGGTAGCTCTACCTTTCCTGACGTCTTGACGCCTTTCCACAGACTAAAGAACAGGATGATGACGACCACCAAGAGGCAGAGGGAGAGCTGCCAGCGCGGCAGGCCCAGGTCGTGGATGCCGCGGCTCTCGTGCAGGTGCAGGACGCCTCGCCTGCGGGCCAGACACAAACACGGCCACGTCACCATGGCGAAAAGAGGCTTTGCTGGCGCCATGGGAAGGCAGGCTGTCACTCGTGGCTGGTGACACTGCAGTTCTGTGAGACCCTGTCCTGTGCTGCTGCCCGCGATGCCCYGCTGTTAACAGCCCTCAGGGCTGTTTGGTTGCCTTGGCTGTAATGGTAGCGCTCTGCTCCTTCGATGGAGCTTGGGGAGTCTGGAAGTGCTATTCATTGCCTGCTTGAACATGGAACACATGCTCCAACAATCTGCTTCCTCAAAGAATTTAAGACATGGCTAGGCAAGGTGCAGGGCACGCGGATTTACCTTTGAAGTTACCTGTCCATCGAACAGGCAGTGGCAGGCCCTTCAGAGACCCTTCTCAACCTGCATTGCTGTGGATTCCTGGCTGCTGCCTGCCCCTCAGCAGGCTGCAAAGCTGCTGTCCCTTGCTGTTGAGTAGGCTGCTGTGAGGCTCTGAGTGGGAAAGGGCTGCGAGGGCACTTCACAGAGCTGTGGTGCTCTGTGCTCTCCACCGAGGTGGTGGAGATGTAGTAGAAGAAATGCGGACACTTACCRGGTAGCTTAGGTCTTTGGGGACCTATACAGTGAGATTATTTCAAATGTAGAAACACTGTTTGTCCCTAAGATTTGTTGCACTCAAGACTAGAGTTATCAAAACACCTTTCCACKTGCAGCAGGGATATGGGCTAGATGTTGTAACGGACCCACCTGCTTTTCATGGAGTTCTATGCAGTTGGTGCTCTGCAGCCTTTATAAATCTGAAGAAYGCAGAACTGTTTTGCTGTGCAGAATGCTACACTGGCAAAGGGGAATGGCATTGTAGTTGAGTCCTGGGGTGGATGCAGATCAAATGGCTGTTGGGTTTAGTTCTTAGTTCTTTAGTCTTAGAGCAGGCCTTGTTTTTTTCCCAATCCAAAGTCAATTAAGTGGGATTACGAATCTGGATAGCCTGATTATTTCTTTCTTGCTTTTTTTTTCACTTTGTATAAATTTCTGGCCTAAATTTCACTCTGGTGAATAGAGGGGGTTATTCATCAAAACAAGTTTTATGTGTTAGATTTGTTTAGATGGCAAATATGTCATCAACTTAGTAGTAAATTAAGATGTTAACAAATATACTTTATAGTCTGACAGACTGAGATGCTCATGACAGAAAGCTTTTATTAGAAATGAAGTTGTTTCTTAGTGTTTGAGAACATAATTTCTGAGTGCAGGGGTGTCTTTGAGAAATGACTGCTATTACTCTATTTTAGAGGATAAAATTTTGACATTAAAATCTGTTCATGACAAGCAGATGCATGATATATGGATTAAGCCTTTGAAAAATAGGGTTGAAGAACTTGGCCAAGTATGTGTAGAAGTTAGATGCTTTTGAGTGAGCAAACACAAATGCCTTCCATAGAATATTAAGAAAATTGGTAAGATATAAATAGCTATGGACTGTGACTGAGTTGTATTCCCTATTCTGGTAGTTCTRTGACTTAATGCAAAACAGAGGTTGACGCTAAAAGGACTGACACTATATACACTGTGCAGCCTATGGAAACTGAATCACACACTTGATTTAGAAAGGCATTTGAAGCGTGCTAATTGTGCTCCTTGAGAAGCTCTCCTACATCCATCTGTTATGTACTTGACAAAGAAAGGATTGTCTATCCCTACCCATTTTACCTATGGAGGGTAGTCTGGATGAGGCACCTGTGGGTGGAGCTGGTTGAACTCCAGGTCCTGAGGGGCCCAGGGGCTCTGTAGGAACCAGCTTGGGTTCAGCTGGACCTACTGAGCCCAGCTCAGCGCTGGCCAGGTGGCCTCGTTAGGTTTTACCTGCACCTTGGGGGGGTTCTGTTCCTCAAGAGATTTCAGCTCCCTCTTGTGTCAGATAATAGTGATATAATGCACTTCATTATATATTTTGGGGTATACATCGTCTACTGAAAAATAATATACAAGTGTCCCTCTGGTTGATGTAATGGTTATTTAACTTGAATGAAACACTAATTATTTCTGAAGCAGAATAATCTAGAAATGATTCTTGGTGAAGTCTTTGGGTAATTCCCTCATTTCGTTGTGCTGATGACCCTTCCTGTTTGTGCCTCCCTTCAGCACAGTAGTGTCTGCACAGCATCCTCCAGAAGGTCTGCAAAATCTGCCTTCACAACCACTAACTTGAGAATAGGAAACAATAGGAAACACTTTGACCCATCGGTCGCTCTAGCAAACAATGAGCTCATGAAATTTGGCAGGAGAAAGGCAACTTGAGGAACGGGCCCCCTGCACCATTGAGAACTGCTGACACTTTTCAACAAATGACTTTTGTGGCTCACTTTGTGGTTTAACATCTGCTGTAATGCTGGGTCCTTTACCCAGTGCAGCCAAATTTGTTACCTTTTCTTGGATCGACGCTTAGGTGTCATAGTTTGGGATCAGCAAAGCTTTCCCTACATGGAATAACAGAACACCCACTCTGACATGACATCAGTGCTCTCATAAGAGAGCATTTGATGAGGGACAGGTGAGCACAAATAGCTGCTTGTTTGTGGTTTAATTAAGMCTAATCCATCTGCTGGCTTTGCTGTTAGCTGTGCATGCAGGTGGAGATGCTCCTCAGAGAAAGGCTCTGTCTCTGGCTATGAGATTTCAATCCAAGGTAACCTGGGTTGGGAGGTGCTGCAGCACCGACCTCAGCTGTTGGGGCTGCTGCTGAGAGCCTCATGCTGCTACCAGCCTGTTTGGGGCTCTCTAGGTAGAGCTCAGCAGCTTGGATTTCTCCTACTAGTTAGTGTAAAGACGGCCTCTTGCGTGCAGTGAACACATAATGTGCAATATCTCGTAAAAACCCTCTGGAAACTTAAGCTGGCAAAGTGGTCATTCTTCTGCTCTTTTGGATTCACTACACAGAGGCTGGTTGTGGTTTTGGAATCATTTCCATAAAGTTGTCCAAAGGCTGAGAACATGTGTACACACTTGCAGGGATTCACTTCCATGGAGCTCCCTTTGGTGTCTTCTCTCTTTGGGTAAGTGAATGGAAAACAAATTGCAAAGATGCATATGCAAATATTTGTGGACTAGCTGCTTTTATTTTGTGCACATGAATACTTGCACTAGAGATTTGTGTGCATTCAGTCAAAAATGGGCAAGATTACTGTGATATTAGGCCAATTCACAAAAGTCAATGTAGTCATAAAGTAAATGTGCAACACACAGGGTTGCAGACGTGTAAGTCTCAGGACACAGCATCATAGATGATGCACTCAGCATTTGCTGAATGTGCCAATGAAATTAATACATATTTTATATCCAAAGCCATCTGCTTATGGCTATTCCAGGAAAAAAATGTGGCCAAAAATTGGAAAGTAGGAAACTGCTGGTAATTTTTAACACTTGTAATGTAATTTTTATTTATAAGCAAATTGTTTTTGCTTTTGAAAGTGCTCTCTTTCTTTGGGAGAAGTTGCTTYGAGGATGTTTATATGGGGAAAAGTTACTGCCTTGTCCTTTGGTGTGTGCTGTGTAGATCACTGCCTTGGTTGTAGCACTGAGCAACGGGCACCCTTTGGTCTGTGATGGTATTTCCTATGAAGGTAACTTCCTATGTACATCAAATCCAGCTTGTTGGCTTTATAGGGCAAGGAATTTTTAGCAGAATATTTTTGCTTCACACTCTTCTCAGAAATTAAAGCTTATAGATGTGGTAGATGTAGGCTGCTGTGAGGCAGTGCTGCCTTTCCTCCACGTGCCAAGGCAGCTTCTTTACAATTATTGYTCTCCTGGCAGTCTGGCCTTCGCTGAACTGGGAATTCTGTGAATTTCCTTTACTGAACCCATCACGAAAACTTCCCTGTAAAAATATGTTTTCTTTCTTACACTGAGAGATCGGATTGCAGCCCTGAGAACAAGGGCTATCAGAAAAGCCAGCTATAGCTCAGTGCATTGTTGACAGTTTCACTATTTTGTTTAAAAAGTTGCCAGGATTTGTTCATAGAGCAGATCCTGCTTATTAACAGTGTGGTATGAGAAGAATAGTGCTTTTKTTCCTCCGAGCTGGTGTTTTTGCTTGTCAGCCTAAATGAAAGCAAGATGGTAATGAGCTCAGACACAAGACCTGAGCGAGCAAATATGAAGTGTGTCCATACTCAGATGAAATATTTAAATGGGAACGATAAGATATGTATAGGAACTTTTCTTCCATGTCCGTTCTTCTAAAAATGTGTTTTAGTGAATCATTTTGACGTATATTGAATGGATAGAGGGTCGTTTTTATCCTGTGGCTAATGCCAACCTCCTAGGAAGTAACTGCAGTGCCGCATGTGTCCAGGGCAGTGTGGAACTTGCGTTTCATTCCTAACTGCACTTCTCTTATAATTTACTATTACTAGGAGAGGAGCACCAGTTGTTATCAGATTTTGGAGTTCTTTGCTAACTTTTCAGAGTATAAATGTGTTGTAATTGATTTCAACCATCTCTAATGAGGCACTGCGGAGGGCCTGCTCAATCCTCGTTCCCGTCGCAAGCAGCTCTCCCATTGACGTCAATGGGATCTTGGCCTGAGCTGAGCCTGAAGGATGGCAACCAGGCTTAGCAGAATGATGCGCTCTGGTGTAGCAACACTTCAACTCATTGCCCAACTCGTAAGGCTTTAAAACAGCAGCCAAATATGTTTGTCAGAGCCCTGTGTCACTGTCTTAGCATGGGAATTGCAGTTTGAAGTGATTTCTTCCAACCCTGAGGCTTAGAGGTTTCTTTGCCTCTGCTGCTTCCCCCAGGACAGCTGGAAGTATTCCCTGTAGTTTTCCATAAGCTGTGGTGCATCCCACCAACCCAGAGCACGGCGCTCCTCTTATCCTGGGCACCATGGTCTTCCATAGAGCTCTGCAGCACTGAGGAGGGTAATGGCTTTTGATCCCTGTTTACTGACCTGAATATTCATGCATCGCTGTCCAAGTGCAGAGGCAAGGCAGCTGCTGCAGCTTTACAGTGCTGTAGTTTGTTGTGATTTCTTTATGGTATAAAAATAATTGCTCTGTTTGCCTGTTTCTCTATATAACTAATCAAAATTTGACGTTTTCTGTTTAATCTGTGGCCTTAAAAGTGTTTACCACTCATATAACACAACAATGGAAAATGTGGCAAATGTTTAGAAAGTAAATGTGATGAAATAGCCTGGAACCAAGGGTCTTCATCATGATGCTCTTTCAGCAGTCTGGCTTTTGCACCATCTTACTGAGGAAAGACCAGTTTTTCAGCCTAAAACTTGGGGTTTCTGGATGTAAGGAGTAGRCTGACCTGGCACACACTGTTTTTATCAGTTCTCCTCTGCAAAGATTTGTTAAAAACAAACAAAACTCSTAATCCTTCCTCTATCAGGGTGTTAGGTATAATTTCTAGTGCAAGATGGTGTGAGGATAGCCAACAGCCATGCAAGAATCCAGGACAAAGATAACCAGAGTGTTAATGTTAAAAGTTTCCTCAAAATGGTTTTCAGAGAGAATAATAATCAGTAATGATATATTGTATCCAAAAACAATGCATCATTTTGCAAACCTACTAATGCAAATTTAACATTTCATCATCCTGACACTATTTCCTGACCTGGCTGCACTCGATAGGAAACTTTGCAATTGGAAGATTCAGCTCTCCATGTTGTAAAAAGATGGTGCTAGGAGCGAATTATGTTATTTTGGATATAAACAAGAGAAGAAATCCTGTTTTATGAATTGGATTCTGTTTATTTTTTTAGYCTGGGTCTGAAAAAGCATAAACTTTGCGTAAGTTCGGGTCACACCTGAGCTTTGCAGCTGGACTTGGTRAGCTAATCCAAATCCAAGTGGATAAATGAGCAGACTGCCCCTTGAGATCCCCTACTTTTGCAGATGGGAAGCACATCTCGTGGACTGTGTTTATTCCTTCCCTCTTTGCGATATAATCTACTCGCTAGTAATTACAGGACTGAGGAATTTCAGTCCCTCATTCAGGGACCAAATCATAACAAAAATCAATACTATTTTTTAGAAATCTAAGATACCTTTTAAAAATCATGCCCTGATTATACTTTAGGGTCTGGAAAGGACCTGAGCATTTCAAGCTTCAGGGTATGGGCAGAATCACAAGGTGTGAGCTCTGCCCAACAAACCTGTGGAACCAAACTCAGATTAAAAGGGAATATTTGAATAAATTGAACATTTACTCCCACCATTTGCTCCTCCCCATACTTGGGCCGGGCAGAGTGTAACACGTACTGGGTTCTTTAGGGTGGCAGTGCAGTCCCTGTGTTCCTACAGAACAGGGCTCAGCTCATGGCTATCCTTCCATTCCCAACACAAAAAAAACTTATCTGAATAATCAGTTAATATAACAGCCAATGCAATTAGCCTGACACCTTCCTTTCCCTGTCCTAATCGAATCCCATCTTGCCCTGGGAACCCAGAATGTGAATACAGGGTTATATCCCTGGTTCGTACTCTATTTTTTTAAACACGTCCATCTTTTTCTTTGTGTCTGGTATTTAATTTAAGCCTCTGCCTGTCTTGGCCCCTGCTGCAGAGTTGGAGGGAGGAATTAGAAGAGCCTGGCTTTGCACTGGCCTGTCTGCTCAGTGCTTCATTGTGCYCCTCGCTGCTGCTGAAGCAGCTGAGCAAACCAGTCTGCTCTGTGGTATTTTGCAGGCAGAGAAACAGGCAAAAGCTGCCGGAGAAATGGTGATTTTCAAACCTCAGACACACAATGGTCTTTCTCGTAATACTGCTCTGCATCCTTGTTCTGGAAAAGCTGATGAAAGTGGAATGGGACGGAAGGTTTGTCCCTTGTGCCCAGTTGCATGTGGGTTAGTGTCAAATACTGCATTTTTACCAGAAAAACGGAAACTCACAGAGGCAAGAGCCTTAGTCACAAACTGACACAGACYAACGCCACAACTGCTTCTTAACCTCACTGTTCTCATGCTTATTTTAGAAGCTGGATGCTAAGCAGGTTTACCTTGCAGAGGAAACCCTCTTAGACACAGAATTGTGATGAAATAGCAAATCAAGTCGCCACTTACTCGTAAAACTCGGCCGCTGGCGTGAGCTTGTACTTGGAGTACTTGGTGCCATTGCCGAGCACCGAGGCGTTGAAGAGCTTGGGGTCTGTGCAGTTGGGGCTGTTCCAGCTGTTGCCGCAGTTGGTCCAGGGGAGCTCGAAGGTGAACGATGAGAACAGGTAATACAGGGACCAGGCTATGATAACGTTGTAGTAGAAACCCACGTAAAGAGCTATGAGTATCACTGCGTAGCCTACACCTAAGGACAAAGGAGAACTAGGTTAGTCCTTGTGTTTTGGTGCCGAAGCAGGTGCAAAAACGCTGTAGTTGGAACAATTCAGTCACGCATTAGTTGCAAATTCATTTTACATCTCGATTCTAAAAGGAACTTGTGCTGTATGCATAGACAGGCAGTGTCTTTAGCCCGAAAACAACTAACTGCAGTAATGACTGAGAGAAGACTGACTTTCAGTAACTCCCGTTGTGTCCGCCAGAACGCAGAAATTCAGCCGTTCAATGACAAAATTCTGCTCGTGTCCAGCTCTGCTGATTTCTTTCCAGTGCAGAGGATTACAAGCCCATGTTAGGAGTGAAACTTATTTCCTAATGCCAGAGACCTTGGCAACTTGACTTGGAAAAGCAGAGCTCAAGGCTTGGGAAGGTTTCCCTGTGCCTCACACTCCCCCCAGAGCCGGTCTGTAACAGACAGTGATTTCTGGGGCCTTCAAACCATTTCATAATTCCCCCAGCATTAGAAATCAAGGCAGAATTTCACTCTAAATCTTCACATTCAGAGGGAGTTGGTGATTGGGGCTGCTGCAGCTACTGCAGCTGCTCTCTGCTCTTCAGGGGGTTTTAGCACAGAAGCCAGTTTGTTCATCCCTAATGTGAAAAGGGAGCTGAAACTTTATCTTCAAATCCTTGCTGCTCAGAGGAATCTGGAACATTAGCATTCAAACTCCAGCGATATGTTACAATAAATGGAACAGGAAAAGAGCATCCAAGAGGATGAATGGTAAAATATCAAGTAAAAATAATCGGCATTGCTCTGACAATGGATTTTTTTTGCTTGTTTAAAAGTGTTTCTTAAGCTCCTCCAGTTCAAGAGGACAATGATATTTAATATCAAAGACTCAAAAGTACTAGATCAAATGCATTTTAAATGTCATTCCTCTGAGATCATAAGAATGTTCAGAAATGAATTTTCTTCCTTTTTTCCATATCTAATGTTTTTTTAATGTAATGCTGTACCACCCACACTCTAAAATAAACCCTAGAAAATGCGGGCATGAAAACAGACTGTTGCAAAGGTTACAGGATATATTTTTGATCGAATGCCTTGAGAGCATCTCATTAGGAGCAGAGTTCTTAGAGTTAATAGCAATAACACTCATAGCTAAAATTAGTGCCCCAGTGCCGTTCATTTAGAGAAGCTGATATAAATTTGGGTGCAGCCTGTGTAGTTTTGGGATGTGAGTTAACCCAGGGACGTGTCAGAAGCCTCACGAGGGTTTAGCTGGGAAACATGGTTAGGTTTTATCACAAGCTGTGATCAAAACCTTGTTAATGGAGGTGCTGAGCTTATGCTCCTGCCGACATGCAAATACTCATCAGTGGTTCATACCTTTTTAGAATCAAATAACTTATGTTGCTGGTATTATATACCCCAGTAATAAGAGCATTTAAAAATCAACATTAATGAATGTTTAGTCCATCCCGAACATTAATTTTACAATATAGCTGGAATGTTAAGGCTGTACAGGAGCTAAACTGTTTTCCTTTCTCATCTTTCTTTCTGTGACTAAGTCTGAAGGTTACAGGCACGGAGGTTGATGTGGGCTCCCACGGGGAGAATATAGCAGGGTTAGGTAAATCTGTGAATATATTTGCTTATTTTAGGCACTATATAAAATTTGTTTGTTTTATATACCTGATTTTCCTGGAAGTTTGGGGTGTGACTGATGCAAACAACCCTGCAGCTTTCCTGCCTTGCAGGGCAGAGCCTCCGGAAAGCAGCAAGCTGCTCTTGGAGAAAGAGGTCTAACATTTACTCAGTGTAGCCTATCCCCCGGCGCCGGATCTGCCAGGTTTGGGTTGCTCCTGTTAAGCTCCTTGGCTTTTGTCAGTTATGGGATGAACGTGACCTGAATCTCGAGCTCCTGGGCAAATCAGCTGAGCTTGGGAGCTTCCATTTCAGCCCCCTCAGACAGCTCGGGATTGCAAAAGCTTTCACGTAAAGTTTAAGCTATAATATGATATAACAGCTCACAGCTTTTGCTGGGGGATGCTCACAAGGAACTTCTTGAGKTTTTTCCCGTTTTCTGTTCCTTTATTCATTTTCTGTGCTAACAAATAGGCTTCTGGCTTAAAGGGTGGCAGAAAAGGTCAGCAAATACCCACGCTGCACACAGGGAAGCCTTGGTGGGGCTTGTGGACACTCACCTTTGAAGACGGGGCAGATCTTCCACACCGTGGCGGCCCCTTCTCGGTTGTACTGCCCCAGCGCCAGCTCCATGTAGAACAGGGGCATTCCCGCAATGATCAGGAAGAGGATATAGGGAATGAGGAAGGCACCTGGGAATACAGCAATCGGACACTGTTCCGTGTTTTGGTGACATTCAGCTTTCCCTACCCTTCCCCTCTGGATGGATTAGGGAGAAAGCTGCTGCCTTTGGGAACTGGAAAGGAAGTTTCAGGGAAGATGACTCTGTGCTTTCTGGTCCTTTTCCAGGATTTTCTGATGCTCTTAAAACCAGAGGTCCTGAGCAAAGGGSTAGGTCCCGGTGGTTTGCAGACAAACGACCACTGGGGAACTGGATTTCTGGTCACTGGGGAACGGAATTTCTCTATTTTGGTTCCTGCTGTAATAAGTGCTGTAACTTTTGATGTGTGTGAGACACCCCCCCRTCTCTGCCATGCTGATCCTCATCTCTGGCGTTGTGGAGCTTGGTCTTTGGATTGCACTGCCTGAGCTGTCCTGGGTTTGAATATGCCACAGAGAAGATACTCAATACCCAGTAATACTTAGTTCAGTCTGGAAAAGCGTGTATTGTTTACCCTGTATCCAGGATCTAAAAATACCATTTTGGGTGGGTTTTCTTTCCATAGATCTTGCATGTGACAGCCTTTCCATAGCTGTTCTTGCCTGGCTTGGGTCGAGTTGAGCATGTGGAGCTGATGCACGTGGGGGTCCTGGCTTGGGGGCTATTTGAGATCACGCAGTTTGATCAAGTTGTATGTCAAGATCCCACGATGCCATGAGTTAAACAGGCAAATTTGTATTTGGGAAGATTAATCCTTGAGATGTGTAGTGGGCATAAATTTGAAATTGTGCTTTAAAGGATGTGCTTTCTAAGTGTGACTAATACCTTGATGAACTGTGAAGTGTACTGTGCTTAAATGATGCTTCAGCAAGCAGGCGTATTTGGCTGCAAGTCATTTCAGGCTCTAGTCACAGGAATTTTGTCCTTTCCTTCTTTTCCCCCACACGGGATTAATGAAGCATCCTGCAGTTTGCAGCAGAGAGTATCACCCAGCGTGGCTGACTTGCACATCAGGGGTTTCCTTGCAGGTGACTGTAAGGTAGTGAGCRAGGTGTTTCAGCATCCAGATGAGTATCACAGTACAGGGGCCAGCAGGACTCCTCGGTGGCACTCAGTCTGACTATTTGGGACCAAAAAAACCCTTAATTTTGGTATTGCAAAATCTCCTGAAAGAGTTTGTCTCCCCTCTGTTCTTCAATATCACTGGTGTTCTCRAGTGGGGAATGTGGAGAGGAAAACAGCTCTAAATAGCTCTCAGACTTGAGAGATGGACTCGCCTTCCTTCTGAATATCAGGGAGAAATAGCTAACAATTTAATGACTGAAAAAGTGTCATTAAAACAGCCATTGTTATTCTAAAAGGAATTGTTGGTACAGGTAGGAGAGGCCAGGACAGAGGTAGCTGGACCAGCATGAACTGTTCAATTTTTCATCATTAGCGGCTTGCTCGCGTTTCCCTGAATATCCTAGTGAAGATGCTAATAAACTAACTTGAAGCAAACAGTGAGGCACATTTTCAGAGAGGAGTGTTTCCCAGCACTTGTGCTGGGAATGAGTGTAAAAATAATGATCTTTCAGCTGGCAAATTGAAATATAAGCTGATCTCTAGATCTGATCAACATTGCTTGTTGGTTTTCCAAACTGTGATTAAACAGCACTTGAAATAGCATCAGCAAACAGTTGACAGAATACAATATGTTTGCTTGGGCAAGGAGGAAAATGAGTGAAAACTAATCTGTGTCTGCTCTTATGAATGGGAAAGGCGGGCCCTGCTGCTGAGATCTTGCAAGACCGCAGAGATGTGGTYGCTGGGGCCTCTTAACAAGGCCAACAGAGCAGACCTCAAGGTCGAGGAGCAGGAGGTAGCCCCAGTGTCCAAGGAAGAAGGTGACTTCAGCAGCACCTGTGTTGTTCTCCTGTTGCYGCACTGTTCTGGTGACTCTGGGCCATTGCTGGCAGCTCTACTCCAGCTTGGCCATCACTGGGGGATGTTCACCTGGAAAGGAATCTACTGAGCCAAACCACACAGAGCTGGAGGCTGAACCTCAGAGGTGTGAGATGGAAGTGGGTGTCCAAGTGTACCTTGTTGTTAGACACCAAATTTCCTTGACTAAGCAATACTTGTGAGTGAAAACATCAGAAGCTACTTGCTATGGGCTTGTAAATCAAAGTAAGTAGTTTTACTTTGGATTGCAGCACTGGAAAATCCCTAACAACCTCAAATGATAGCTTTTCCATGCAATGTGGTGTGCTGAAGAAGGTGGTGCTGTGCAGAATACAGCCGTGTATGTGGAAGGTGGCTGTATTTCATCAGCTTTGCCCGCCTGCATCTGCCTGGTGCCWGGGAGATGCTGGCAGCTTTGCTCTGGTTGGGATACACACTGTGTTAGACAGAGTTTTGTCTTGCCCTCTCCTTTCAGAGAGCCTGGATGTTCATTTCTGTTGTGTGTACTCAGCTGTGAACAAAAGTAAATGATTTCACTCTTTATATAGCTGATTTTGGTGCTGTAACGGGCTGTCCCCTGCTCTGGCTTATTATATAGCCTAAACCACAGCATTTCAGACAGATATAGAGTTCCGATGTGATGAGATCGAGAGAATTCTTTGCTTTCTTTGGTAGTTTATTTGGTTAAAGTAAATAAAAGATTGAGATATATCTGGCATTTCATTCCTGCTGTGCTTTGCCCCTGCCAAATTAAGCAGCCCTGTGGCTCTGGCTGGCCGGGGAGCTGTTGGCCCTGGCTTGCTGTGTTAGAGCTTTCTCCTCAGCCTGAACCAACTAGACTGAGCTCAAGCAGCGAGCGGGTGTCCTCGTGTGCGTGGAGCCCATCTGGAGCTTTGTGGTTTCAGGTTGTCTTTAGCTGTTGCCACAAACAACAGCCCCCAAGTCGAGCACCCTCTGGAGAGGACGCGGTGCCAGTTTTAGGCCGCGTGAGATTCGCAGCTGTGCCAGGATGGGACTAAGTGCTCAAATCTTAAATCAGCTCCAGACAAGGGCCAGGCAGCCTTCAAGAAGATTAATACACAAACCAATAGGGGGTAAATGCTTCAAAATTCTGCTAGAGACGAATCGAGTACAAACATCCCGAGGTGCCCTTAAAGCTTGCCCTACCCTTTAGTGATTAATCCAATCTTAAGTTGTAAGTCGCTTTTTGGACTCAGTGACCAAATCAAAACATTCCTATTCCTCTCAGGCTTTTTTAGAGATTTATTTGTAATACTGTAAGACTTTGTGGACTATCTTAATCTTTACAAACTGTTGCACAAAACAATCTTGTAAATTCTTGCTGTCAGTGGAGGGCTATGTTGTCTCGCAGAAGTAAAGACAGTTTTAAGTTTTTATCGGTAAGAATTCTCATAGATCAAAGTGCAGCTTTACTGCAGTCGTTATAAATGAAGCCTTCAGCACTGCTGCTTTCTCCTGCCATGCAGGAAGCAGCCTGACCGCACTGTAAACTAAATATAGTGCAGATTTTTGCAGGGCTTTAGAGCACAAGGCAAACACAGATGCGCACACACAGTTTAAAACCACTCACTACATTTTAATAAAGCCCACCTATGGTTTCTGTCAACACAACAGAAATATTCTTTATCTGCAGTTTTCTGGTGCCTCTGTGTTTCTTAAATGTAGATGCTGCAGAGTCACTTTAAACACAGATTTTGAAATTAAGTTATCAAACAGGAATACTCTTTCATTTGCACAAGACAACTCTCATGGCTGTGTATGATTTGGTTAGGGACTATTTTGGCAAATTTACCGTTACAGTAATGGGTGCTACTGCACAATTGCCTACAGCAGGGCAAAAACCATGCCTGCTATCGAGTATTGAGGACTATAATCTCTGTCAGGTCATGCTGTCATTTTAAAAGGTCTAGATGAGGATAGTTTCCAAATGGTGATGGTTTCTTTACCTAGAATCCTTCTATTAGCATTGCTAATAGATTCTAGGATTGCACACAGTTATTGGTTGCGCCAACATATATGACAGGAACGCTTTCTATTTGGAAAATCTTGTTTGTAATCTGCACGAGGGTAGTCCTGGAAATACTCTGGATGCAAAGCCTGGCCATCAAGCAGGGGCTCTGAGCAGTTCTGCGCTGTGGGTGCAAAGCTGAGCTTTTTAGCAGGGCCCTGAAGAGTGGTTGGAGCTAGAAGGATGGTTGGAGCTAGTTCCCKCGCTCCAGAAGGAAAACTGAGTCTCCCCTAAACCAACCTCCCCCYACACTTGCTGCAAGAGTCTGGCTGTAGTGACCAGCTCCATCCTTTCTTCACACTCTTTGTCYCACTGCTCTCCCTGTTCTGTGGGAATTAACCAGACACACAATTTTATTCGCATTTGTAACCTTAGCTTTAGGTTTGTCCATGTTTAACAGACRATTTTCCTCATGGGCTGCACACACCCAGTAAATGTTCCCCAGCCCAGAGCACCCAGGGCAGAACTCGGTCACTGCCAGTCTGGCTGGGACCTCCCAGATCGAGGTGCCAAAGAAGAATGTGCAGCTGAGCTCAGGGCTTCGAACAGCTCCTAGTGAGGAGCAGGCAGAGACCTGAACGCTGCGAGCAAAAGTCTTCCTGCTTCATCCCCGTGCGAGCTTTTGCTAGGTCAGATTTGGGGGAAATTTTGTTCCCTAAGATGTATTGGTGTGGGTGAGCCTGGTGTTTTTAAAACAGCACACAGCTTATGCTTTTTAGATTTCTGAATCATTTTAATTACATAATTTATCCCTTAAGGGGAAAAAAAAAAAAAAAAAAAAAAAGGAAGGAAAAACATAGGTAAGCTTGAAGATGTCCAGATCTGTTAGATGCAGTGATTTTTATCAGACTCGGTATACATCAATGAACTGTAATTTGGGAATAATTTGGTTACTGGTTTCTGACTCCTCCTTTTAGGAAAGATTGAAAGAGGGGAGAGACTTGTGCCAGCTGTATTCCTGCACTTGGCAATCCCGAAGTCTAGAAAAATGTAATGCATCAGGCCTCAGAATAATTTAAAGTGGCTTAAAACATAAGACCGTCTAATCCAATCTCTTT